CCACTGCTTCAATTGGAGGTAAGAATGTGATCTACATCATCACCAAAATCTGATTTTGCACTGCAATTGCGGGAAACATAAGGAAAGTCTTTTAATCGGCACTTGAAACATCATCAAGATGTCTACTAATAAAATTGACGATTTGCACTGCATGAGTGTCTGCTTGAATGGGAATAATTATGCATATTGGAGTTATGTTATGACACATTTTTTGCAAGGAAAAAATGTTTGAAAATAGTTGAGTTAGTGCATCTTGATGTATCTGTTGCGGCTGCTATGACGTCTTCCCCAGATTTGTCCTCATTTCGTCTTAGTTATGAGTCTTCATTGTTTTATTTATGGCATTCTTGTTTAGGACATGTGTCTCAATCTAGATTACAGTACATCATCTCCACTGGTGCATTAGGTCTTATGGAATCTCATGATATTTCTATATGTAGTGGATGCAAACTCTCCAAGCAAACTGCTTTAATTTTTAATAAAAGTGATTCTTTATCCACGGATTCTTTTGAGTTAGTTTATTCTAATGTGTGGGGACCTGCACTTTTAGCTACTAAAGAAGGTTCCAGATATTACATGATTTTTGTGGATGATTTTACTCGTTTTACTTGGGTATTCATGATATGTATTTCCTTTCTATATATTCTGAGTTTATTGCTATGGTTAAAACACAATTTGGTAAGCACATCAAAGTTTTTTGTTTTGATTCGGATGGTGAATATGTCCAAGACTTTTCATAATGTTCTTGCACGTGAGGGTACAATTCATCAGACATTTTGTTCTCATACACCTCAATAAAATGGTGTTGCTGAGCGTAAGCATCGCCATTTAGTTGAGACTTCTCGTTCATCATTGCTATCTGCAGATGTCCCTTCTATGTTTTGGGGTGAGGCTATTCTTACTACATCGCATTTGATTAATCGCTTTCCATCTCGTCTTAAATTTAGGGTCTCTCCTTTTGAGCATCTTTTTGGTCAACGTCCTGATTATACATATTTTAAGAGTCTTTAGATGTGCATGTTTTGCCTTATTGCCTACAGTTGAATGTACAAAGTTATCTTCCCGTACACATCTGCGTTTTCCCAGGATATAGAATAGGTCAAAAAGGCTATCATTACTATAATCCCTATAATCCTGTAACTAAAAAATTGTATGTTTGTCGTCATGTGGTTTTTCTTGGACGTGTTCCATATTTTCAAATTTCTGAAATGAAACCTCAAAAATCTGATCTTATTTATATTGATCCTTTTCCAGAAGGGGATCTCTCAGAGCATTTTTCACATGTAGTTGACGTTTAGAATTTACCTCATCACGAGTCTTCTGGTGTACCTAGTTTTCCTCTTGTTTACAACCGCAAGAAAAAGAATGCTACAACACGTGCAACTTCTATTGATATTGCTCCAGTACATGCATCACTTGCATCTATTGAGCCTATTTCTGATCTGCCCTTGCCAGTGGATTCCATAGCACCCTCTGACTCATCCGCACCCTTTTGAGTCCTCCAGACGAGTACTTCCTTCTCGTAATTGTCGTCCTCCTAGATACTCTAATTTGTCCTCTTCTTATTCAGATCCATTTATCAATTTTCTATCTACTATTCATTCACATGTTAACCCAGATCCTATAAGGAAGCTTCTGCAGATCCAAATTAGCAAAAAGCTATGCAGGATGAGCTTGATGCTTTGCATAATACCGGCACTTGGGATTTGGTTCCACTCCCACTTGACAAAAATGTGATTAATTGTAAATGGGTGTACAAGATCAAGGTCAAAGCTGATGGCTCCCTTGACCGCTATAAGGCAAGGCGTGTGGCTAAGGGATTTTCATAAGAATATGGACTTAAACAAGCACCGCATGTTTTATTTGAGAAATTTAGTACATCTCTGCTCACTCTTGGGATTTCAAGCTCGACATATGATCCTACATTATTCATGCGTCACTCCTCCCATAGACATATTCTATCGTTGTTGTATGTTGATGACATGATTATTACAGGTGAGATGATTCTTCCGGCATTGATATGGTTAAGAAACAATTACATTCTATTTTTGATATGAAAGCTCTAGGACACCTTCACTACTTTCTTGGAATTGAGGTGGTGTCTTCTCCTCGTGGTTATTTACTATCACAATATAAGTATATACTAGATATATTTGTACGGGCTACTACTGAATAATATTGAGCCTGCTGAGAGTCTCCTTCAATCCACTATGGAGCTTTCTCCTACTGATGTGCGTCCCTTTAGATGATCCTACTCGATATCGTGAAGTTATTGGTTCCTTGGTATATCTTACCTTTACTCGTCCAGACATTCAGTATCCTGTTCATGTGGTTAGTCAATTTATGTATGCTCCTAGATCAGTATATTGGGTTGTTGTACTTAGGATCCTATGCTATTTACATGGAACATTACATCACAGTCTAGTGTTCCCAACTTCATCTTCTCTTCCTCTTCGAGCATACTCTGTTTCTGACTGGACGAGGGATGGGAAGAATAGGAAATCTACTATTGTTTGGAGCATTTTTCTGGGTTATTCTTTCACATCATGGAAGAGCAAGAAGTCAGATGTTGTTGCTCGTTCTACAGCAGAAGCAAAGTATCGAGCTATGGCATCTACTACATCAGAAATTGTTTGGCTATGATGGTTCCTTGGTGATATAGGTGTAGTTTTAGACAGTCCTACACCTATGTATTGTGATAACAAGAGCGCCATTCAGATTGCACATAATGCCATGTTTCACAAGAGAACAAAGCATATTGAGATTGATTGCCACTTTGTTTGACACTACCCTTAAAAAGGCACTATTTCTCTTTCATACCTGCAGTCCTCCCTTCAGTTAGCAGACTTGTTTACCAAGTCTACTACAGTAAAGCGATTTCAGTTTCTCAGTGACAAACTCGTTATGCTTACACCATGAGTTTGAAGGGGGAGTCAATGTAATTAGTATTAGTATAGAAGGGTAGACTGATCCTATAGTATCAGTAGTATTTGTAGAGATATTATCATAGTAGAGTACACTGATTGAGATTAATTCAGTTAATATGAAACCCTAGTTTTTAGGGTCAACTGTCGCCACTGATCCTTGGCAAATTAGTATATATAAACAATTGTTTTTCTGGGTATTATAGATAAAAGCCTAGGAGTCTGTGTATAACCCAATAACTATTGGGCACTATTGGAATCTCAAATCTTAAAAACAATGAGATACAACAGGTTGGGATAGGAAGGGATAATGTGGAAACACAGTAAGAATAAATACATAAGAAAGGCAGGATGTCAAAACATGAGATAGCTTACAGGAACAATCTAGTGGAGCCTCTTAACAATGACAGAGTATAGAAATTATCAAGACTAACCGAAGGTTAATTATTGTTTACATAAGAAGATAAAAGAACTAACATTGTTTAAGCCCTCTAAACCAACATGTGGTAAGAGCCTTATCTACTTTAGTTAAAAATGCAGGACCAATATCAAAAACGGACTGACAGATACGGATAATCAGCTTCTCAAAAGCCAAAGAGACATTGAACCATATGGCTATTTTTAAAGAGTACAGAACAGTCAGTTTTATCAGATAGAAACAATTAAATACATTATTTTCATACTTTAGTATTAGGATAACTCAAGAACGAGAAAGTTGTGACTGTTGTGTTACTTACAAAACATTGAGATACTGCAGCTGTCCAATTCTTGGTGACAAGATTCCATTAAACCCCATGGAAGGCAGTGTTCTACAAAAAGTAAGGATAGAAACATATATTTATCAAAATTGTACAGTTTTAAGAATTCACAAAAGCAAGTGAAAGTGGTTATGACTAACGATTCATTTCATAAACAATGACACACTTATAAGCAGCATAAGAATGGGAAAATTATCAACTCACACTTGAATGACATTGTTGCTTCCATCACATATAACAGAATTCCATGTACATGGATTGACTTGATTTTGATTCCAGTCAGACAGCTGATTTCCAGTGGCATTCAGTTTAATTTTCATGTCGTACAATGCATCTCCTGAAAGATTACATATCCTAAGTCATCTTTATCAACAGAGACATGGCGGTCTTCTCTAAAACATAATATGAGTATGCTTGAAACTTAAGATCTGATAGTATTCAGCAAATTACACATTAAAGAGAGAAAAAAAGATATAACAAACAAGCAATGTAAATGATTGCAGTGGAACCAGACTAAAATTAGAAAACAATTGGTAGTTTTTCTTGAGTGCTCCTTATTCACCTAGCTTGGTGAATTGAACTGGATTATTTTAAGATTCTTGCTTCGGTGGTCCAAAGACTCCAAAGATAGGCTTTTTATATAAACTTCATTAATTTTATTTAAAGTGTAACATCCTAAGTGTTGCTAGCATCTTCTTCTTCGATCTCTCAAACCAATGTTTTACAACCATCTTCTTCTTTGATCTCTCGAACCAATGTTTTACAACTCTGGACTGTCTACAAAACCCAATCCCCTTAATTCAAGACCCTACAACCGTCAACAACATAAACGAGTCCACCGCCTCTGCTACCAAGCGTCGTCAACGAAGACCATCCCTTGACAGAGACAGCTCACCATCGAATCATGTGCATGGAGGGAGGAATTGAGGGCTAGAGGAAAAAGAAAGATGACAACAAGCTTTTTATCTACCCCTAAAAGAGGAATTAATTATAAAATTGACGGTGGTAAATCATGTAACCGACTACACCAAATTAAGCGGGACACCGAGACTATAAGTGTGGTGATCATTTACTTTTTGTGCCATTGGTACTCCTAAATGTATTTTTAGGAGTACGGATTTATTTTAATCGTAGGAATGATACTCCTCAAATTCTTATCAACATTTAGGTGTCAATCATGCCTAATCCTTCCCCATCTTAGGTGACCTAGCTCAAAAAACAAAAAGTAGAAAACAACGGGAGTACTATCTTGGGTGACCTAGCTCAAGAAACAAAAAGTAGAAACAGTGGGTAACCTATGAGCATATCAAAAGTAGCATATGGATTTCATGAGATGATAACAAATGAGCAGTAATTGATATTAAAAGGCTAAGAAATCATATAAGCTCCTCTTCCTTCCTTTCTCTTTTGTGGGTGTTTTGAGTTCTCTCTTCTCTTATGTAGGTGTGCGCATCAGCAGAGTGTATGTGTTAATTTAATGTTCATGTGGGTGGGTGGGGATTACAGGTAGTGTTTTAAATGTCGGTTGCCATGTCCGACATGTCGGCTGACATGATGAATCTAGAGACCCACTGACACAATATGGAGTTTTACAACACGTATTGTATTTTTAGTGTTTATGTCGGGTATAGTGGGGGGCATGTCGGATATGTTGGTCGAATATATCCGGGACATGTCGGCCATATCGGCCGATTTTTTAATTTAAAAAATTAGCTTTTTGTTATGTTTATCTAATCAGGTTTGGGTTTAAATTCCTGATTGACTTAATATGCTTCCAAAGACAAAATCCGATCAGTTAGGAGAAAAAAAAGGACCGATGTCATTTCCGTCACTCCTTTTCTCTCCTTCAACATCTCATTGGTCTATTCTCCAAACTGTTCCTTCGACATCCATATCGGGCGACATTCTCTCTCCTTAACCAGTTAACCGCCAACATCGGGCTTCTCTATTCTCACATTTTTCCTTCAGCATCAACCTTAAGCATCACAAGTTATTTATTTTTTTATATGTTTAGATAATAGAATTTAAGTATATTTAGATTTTATTTATGATATTATATTGCACATATGCACACCATCCGATATAACAATCCGATATTTTTTATATCCCTCGACATATCCCCGATTTTCGCTATCCAACGTGAATTTTAGCCGTCCGACATGAACCTAACATTCAAAATTTAAAACCTTGGTTAGAGGGGGTTATAGTGGCTCATTGATTACCCTGATACTTCACCTTGGCTCCTGTATCCGTGTCCGTGTCCGTTCAGACACTCCTTGGACACTTCTTGAGTATATACATACATTTATGTATACATGTGCCGAATTAGACAATACATGTTTTAGTTTAAAACACTCGTAGTACACTCCTTGGACGTATACGTCACACTTCACATCAAATTTTTGCAACTTGTTGGACTCATATTGGGTTCATTTCAGCACATATCATGTTCATAAGTATGATTTTAAACGATGATTTGGATATCTAGTCCAGAAGTGAGTAGTTTTTTAATTTATAATCTACTCAATAAAAGAAACATAAAAAAGGTATACGGTCTTTAGTTCTCATGATATGTAATAAAAAACAAGATTTGATCTCATATATATTATTAATTTCGATAAGTATATATAGAGAAGTGTCCCCGTATCCTACATTTTACAAATTTAACGTGTCTCGTATCCACACCCGTGTCTGTGCCCGCACCCGCACCCATGCAACATAAAGTGGCACTTAATATTATGTATTGATTAGCAACAATTAATCACTCTTCATAAGCAATTGAAGAAGGCATTAATCTACAGTATCCTCCCAAGGGCTAAACATATGAAGCTGCACGGAATTGATAAAGAGCATCTAATTGAGGCCTACTTTCGAATTAAGGCATCCACACAGCAAGCTCTAATGTATCATTTTGTGTATTTCACGAGCCAAAAAACTAGCAAAATTTGTAATACGAAAAAAGCATAACATGAATAATATGACAGATATGATATGTTGATACACAAAAAGAATGGATTGAGGAGGAGAAATAAACATACCTTGCCAATCAGATAAAACAACGGACAGTAAAGGAATCACTAAACACAGTCTATACACAAACTCCATCTTTCTTTATGATGATTTTCACTTCTTAGATTGTACGAGACTATCTAACTTCTGCGAAGCTAGCCATTATCTGGAAAAGTAGCATCTTGTCATCAAGAAATATACGTCACAAATAAATAATATTGTGAAACACGAAGGAAAAGAAACAAGTTATATGGGAATTTCCCACATAAACGAACGTGCAACAGAAAGACAGTGATCCCCCCACTAAAGGTATAGTAATGCCAAGTACTGCAAGCAAAGTGATTCAAAATTAAGAGAAATGATATAGCCAACAGATCGAGCCGAGCTACAGGAATTATAGACATTATCAGGAAGCTCGGCGCATTATAGGAAAATTTAATAACAGCAGCTTGTCGTGAAGCCCACTAGAAAGCGATTACGTCAAGAGCCTAAATTTGTGATGTCAAGGGGAGGAAAATCTTCTTTCCAATTTATTCCAAACCTGGAATTATTGGAATCACCTCCGTACTCGTTGGGTTTTTGACCAACTCTTAGTGGACGACAACCTTAGCTCTGACAACACTATTGAGAATAGCTCAGGGCTCTCAGAGACTAAGATGGAACTTTATCTGAGGAGGGGAAACCCAGATTTGGGGCATATTAAGGAAATCTAGGCTTAATTGTGGTCATTATCAGCCACCTTATATGTATTGGACATGTTCGATTGATTGTAACTATCCTTCCAATAAGTACACTAATGTATCTATTCACCTTTCTACGCACAAAGCCTCCAATAACAACATCTAATTCTAAACCCCCACCAACGCCATAAAACAGAGCGACAATCACCCCTGGACGGCACCGTGCCTTGCAAACCCCCCCCGCCCGCGCGCACCCAAAAAATTACAATTTACCGCGCCCTCGAAATCAAGAGCCCGCACGAAGCCGGCAGCCACTTCACATCATCAAAGCAGTTCAGACTTAAGAGCTAAGAAAAAGAAACTCCCAAACGCCAATTTTCCCGGAAAAAAGACAGACGCGTGCTGAGGGTAGGACCAGTTCAATCAAGAGACACAGATAACGACGATCATGGAGAAGATCCAGTAAAGTACAGCAGGTATATAATAGTAGAAGATACAAGAGAGAGGGAACTGCTAGTAGCCTATCACCCAGGCGTGTATCGGACACAGCGTAAGAGGTTCGCAGGGAGAGATTGAGAAGAAGAGGGGGGATGCGAAATTATTGTTTCCAGAGAGAGAGAGAAAGAAAGACACAGAAGAAGAATAGAGAGTGGGGCGGGGGAAATAATGGTGGGGGCACCGGGGCAGGCTCCGAAGCCCACAAATACAGTTCCCCCCCCCCCTCACCTTTCTCACACAGTGGAAGACAGACAGAACGGACGGCACCCACAAAACAACACGCCAAGACAGGGGGCTCCACCGCGAGACGAACACGGACGGGCAGCTCGTGCCGGTGAGTGTTGTTTAGGGGTGAGAGCTTTGGGTGTTTCGTGGAGTCGCGTCGCTGGTGGGGACCCCTCTACGAGACTGGCGTTTTGCCCGAGGGGGTGGCTGCGCTAATAATTACAAATGTTAAAATACTGCTTGTTGGTTTAATGCGGGCAATTGATTTGGATTTGTTTGCGCTTAAAGGGGACGGCACCCACTCGTACTGCGTGCATTCGGACGCCTGATCGCTTTTGACCGGGGTAGATCTTATCCGCGTCGCTAGTTAGGCAGCAAGCAAAAAAGTTACTTTCCTCGCGGCCCCTGTATCAGTTTGGCGTTTTTCACTAGCCAGCAAATGTGACGCCGCGGCGTTTAGTGTGGAAAAACTAAAAGAAAAAAAAAAGAAAAATAGTTATTTAAATTTAAACATTTTAGTTTAATGATACGTCGTGCGTCTAATCATTTAAAAATTGTAGCAAGTTACACCAACGAATATCAAACTGTTAAAACGCAAAGCGAGGTTGAAATTAAGTTGATGGAGTGTTTTGCGTCTAATCACTTGATTTGAAAGTGAGCGAACCTAAGACCAAATGGGGGACAGAGTTTGGCTCACACGCACGTAATTATTTTCGAAACTGGTTAAGTTTTAAATAAAATAAATCAAGGGTAAAACTTTGAGTTTATTGGCAGAAAAAAAAAACGGTTGACACGTTGAGAAATTTGTGCGACAAGAAAAGAAAAGCATGATAGCTTAAGTATTTTTGAAGCTTGTAGTTGTTTAAAGGTGTGTTTGGATACCAAGGCGATTTTTTTTGTAGTGTTTTTTTGAAGCGTGTAGCTGTTTAATAAGTGTTGGGCGCAGAGTCACGTCCACCGCCGCGAAAGCGATATCACCTGAGAGAAAGCTCTGGCTTTTTGTTGTCACAAAAGCGCAAATCAACCTCTATATTCTTGTTTCTCAAAAGGAAACTAGAATAGATAGTGAAATTCTTATTTCTCAAAGGAAACTAGAATAGATAGTGAAATTCTTATTTCTCAAAGGAAACAAGAATCGAAAGTGAGATATTTCATCAAAGTGAAATATGCACTCTTCCTCTCATCAGTTCTAGGACTGAAATGTCGAGGGAACCTACAAGCAATAGCCAACACCCAGAAAACGATAAATATACGAGATTTACGTGGTTCGACAAACTTGCCTACGTTCACGGGAGGGGTGAGGGGAATTTCCACTATGAGAAGAACACCGACGACTTGTACAATCCACAAGCTCGTCTCAAAGAAAAAGATCTATTTTTACCCAAAAGAAATTACCCTCTTTTGTAAAATCTCTCTTTTTCTCTCCTAAAAAAACTCTCTGCTTTTCTCTCAAAAAACCAGTCGTCAAGAATTCCCTCCGCGATTTTATTTCCCCGATGTAATTTTTCTCCCACACCGAAAACCTAGGAACGACATGGGATTTATAGGGGATACGTGGGCCAAGTTCGTGGGCTAGAAAACCACCCGCTGCGAACTCATGCAGCTGGGTGTTTCGCATACGTGGGTGGGCCCACGTCTCCACGAACATCTCCACGAACTAGGTGCGGGCGTCAACGTGGGTGACCCCCACACACCCTACGTCTATTCACAATTCTCCACCTCGTACATCATTTGATAAACCTCAAATGTTGGACGAACACCAGAAGAACACCGCGAACATCACCAGAGAGATCTGAACATCAAATCAGGCCCAACCAGCTGTGCTACTTTACCACGGCTGCCTACGTATCCTTCACCGGGATCAAGCTAACCATAGTTCAGGAATATGTTCTCTATCATAGTCTCCACCTCACCTCATCACCGCCCCGAAGGGCCATGCCCTCTTGGGCAAATTAACACGGGCTGATATGAAGCAAGTCCAAGCAATGCTTAAACTTGCTACCTGTCACCACCTTAGTCAACATGTCTGCTGGATTCTCATTCGTGTGCACCTTCATGAGAGAAATATCACCTTCCTTTATGACATCCTGCACAAAATTATACCTGACATCGATATGCTTGGTACGAGCATGATGAACTTGATTCTTCGCCAAGTGAATCGCACTTTGACTGTCGCACCACAAGTTCACGTTTTCCTGCTCAATCCCCAAATCATCTAGAAGACTCCACAACTATAATGTTTCCTTCACTCCCTCCGTCATGGCCATGTACTCGGCCTCTGTAGTAGAAAGTGTAACTGTAGCCTACAACATCGATCGCCAACTAACTGGAGCTCCATGTATCCTGAATACATAACCAATAGTAGATCGTCGTCTATCTAGATCTCCCGCATAATCCGAGTCAACAAACCCATCAATCTGACATATATCTCCACCAAAACACAAACTCGTATCTGCGGTACCCTTCAAGTACCTCAGGACCCACTTCACAGCTTCCCAGTGCGCCTTTCCCGGATTTGCCATGAACTTGCTGACCACACTAACCGTTTGTGAAATATCTGGGCGTGTACACACCATGGCGTACATCAAACTGCCAACTGTACTAGCATAAGGAACAAGCTCCATGTGTGCCTTATCTTCTGCTGTAGTGGGAGATTGTTTACCTGAAAGCCTGAAGTGTGGAGTCAATGGAGTCGCCACCGACTTAGCACTTTGTATCCCGAACCTCACGATCACCCGCTCTATATAGCCTTTCTGACTCAAGAACAATCGCCGATTCGCCCGCTCTCTTCTAATCTCCATACCCAGTATTTTTCTAGCAGCACTCATGTCTTTCATCTCGAACTCTTTACCAAGTTAAGATTTCAGCCTACCCCGCTCTTAGAAGCAATAAGCATGTCATCCACATACAAAAGGAGATAGATATAATTACCTCCACGAAGTTTCCGAATGTAAACACATTAATCGTAATCGCTTCGGGAAAATCCATGCTTCAGCATGAAGGAGTCAAATCGCTTGTACCACTGCCGAGGAGATTGCTTCAGTCCATAGAGTGACTTCCTCAAGCGACATACATGATGCTCCTTATCCTCAACCTTGTTACCCTCAGGTTGATGCATGTAGATCTCTTCATCCAAGTCTTCATTCAAGAAGGCCATTTTAACATCGAGTTGTTCCAACTCAAGATCACCATGAGTAATAATACTCAATAGCACCCGAATAGAAGTGTGTTTCACCACCGGAGAAAATATCTCATTGTAATCCACACCCTCTCTTTGTGCAAACCCTTTAGCCACTAGCCTCGTCTTGTACCTTGTGCCACCGAGCTCTAATGGATCTTCTTTTCTCTTATACACCAACTTACAACCAATAGTTTTTCTTCCTACGGGCAATGGGACCACCTCCCATATTTGGTTCTTCCGAAGAGATTCCATCTCCTTCTCCATCGCAGCCAACTAACTCTCACTATCCTTGTCCCGAATAGCTTCCTTGAAGGAGACCGGCTCATCTTCCTCCACCGAGAGTGTGTATTCCACCAAATTAACCTGCCCATAGTGCTTCAGGGGTTGATCAGCCCCTAGCTTCTGTACCTGCTTGTATGCTCGCTTTGGCCTAGTGGAAGCCAAGCTATCCTCGAGCTGCTGTTGTTGTAGTGCATGTGTATTCTCCTGCCTGATTTTCCACTTGAACATGACTAGAACCTGGTTGGTCTTTAGGTTCTATCTCAATAACCTGGGACTTTGAAGTCCCAACAGTCCCAACACCATCATCCTTGGGCGCCCTAGCAATCATGGATTTTTCATCAAAGGTAACATCCCTGCTGATCACGAACTTCGAATCTTCTGTACACCAAAGACGGTAGCCTTTTACGCCCTTCGCATACCCCAAGAATATCGCCTTCTTGGCCCTCGCGTCAAGCTTTCCCTCGTTGACGTGATAATATGCGGTACATCCAAAAATTCTGAGCCTCTTATAATCTGCATGTTCCCCTGACCACACCCTATAGGGTGTATCACCATCTAGTGTAGAATGTGGAGAACGATTCACAATGTAACATGCTGTAGCCACCGCTTCTGCCCACCATTGGTTGCCCAATCCAGCATAAGATCGCATACTCATTGTCTTCTCCCGCAATATTCGGTTCAGTCTCTCCGTGATCCCGTTCTGCTGTGGTGTTGACCTGACTGTCTAGTGTCGAACAATACCCTCCTGATCACATAATTTCTTGAAAGCACCATCTGTATACTCTGTACCGTTGTCAGATCTTAGTGTCTTCATTTTCTTGCCCGTCCTGTTCTCAACCATTGCTTTCCACTTCTTGAATGTCTTGAATACCTCATTCTTATGCTTAAGAAAATAAATCCAAGCATATCTCGAATGATCATCTATGAACGAGACAAAATACCTGGAACCACCCTTAGAAGTTG